TTAATCTCTTATTACCAAGTTGTGACCATATTTTAAATTCTGCCATTTTAACTTTACATTTTACATTGAGGACAATGTATTGTATAAGTTTGGGGGATGGTAACATAATTTCAAACAAATATTCAGCATGCAATTATTTTGCATATTCACAATCCATCGTTAATTTTGACAAATTTTTGCATGATGTATGTTTGATGAGTGAATCTTGATAAACGTTTGCATGCTTGTGTGGGTTTGGTAGCCTTGCCGGCTATGATGTGATTATTGGACATGTATAAGCTAGAAACTGTGGATTTAGTGCAGGATTTAATTTGCTAATACTTGTTGATGCAGTGCTTGACATTCTTTTGCACGCCACTCATGCTTCACGTGTTAAGTTATTGATTGAAATTTTAGAATAAATTAGGAGAAACCTAGAATAACCCTCTATAACATTAACCCGTAATACCACTTTAAAATAGTTTGGAGATGATTGAGCCATTGTAGGGGAACATGGAGATAAGTGGGGGCTCCGTGCATGAAATTATAATGTGTGGATTGTTTAAACTCGGAAGGTAAGAAATAGGTGAAAACTTTAAGTGAGGATGGTTTTGGAAGTCAAATGTCTAGAAAAACAAAGAAGGGGCATAAAGTAAAAAGTGAAAAATTATCACTTCCCTCAAAAAGTCTTTATGACTTGAGCAAGTAAGACTGCAAAGGTTTAAAACCTGATGCCCTAATACCAACTGGTTTGGGAGTCATCGTCCTAAAGCTCGTTACAAGGGTCATCTAGAAAGCAAGAAAAAGTAGAATTGATAAAAAGTCATCTTATCAAGCCTTTATAACTCGAGTAAATAAGACTGCAAGGGTTTAAAACCTGGTACCCTAAAGCCAACTGTTTGGGAGTCATCGCCTAAAACTCATTACATGGGTTATATAGAAAGCAAATGAGAAGATGACACAAAAAAAATAATAAATAAATAAAATAAAAGCCCTTGTTGGACATTTGGTTGATAGAACTATAACCTCAATGCGAGGCAAGTAGCTTAGTTTAATCCTAAATGTTGAAGCAATCAAAATAAGGAGAGTCTCTACTTGTTGATATGTGAACTTGTAATGGTAAAATCTATCCAAACTAAGAGAGGGTAAGAATTAGAATTGTTTAAACTCCTAACCTTAGAATACACCCCGGAGAAATTGTGTGAAAATAATACATTTGAGGATTGTGCATCTCTTGAGTGACGTAAGGATAAATTTGACCACTATGGGTCGGGAATAAACTAATCATAAGCTTCATATATTGGCATGAGTTCACACACACACGTTAAGTATTGCATTTGATAAGTAAATGTTGATTCCATTCTCGCACTCTTGATATTGTTTCTATTATTATTACTAAGTCCAATCCTGAGACACTGCAAGCTATTAAACCATGTTTGTTTAGCATTAAGTCACTACATTGTTTGAGAACAAACAATAGTTTAAGTTTGGGGGATTTGATAAGTGTGTTTTTACACACTTATTTAGCTCACAAACATGACTTAAACATGAACAAAGTAGTTGAGTTGTGACTTAATCTCATTAAATTCATGCAATGTAGGTGTTTCTATGGGAATTCAGAAGAAAAGAGCCGAAAAAGGATCAAAACGGAACAAAGCGATAGTTCGGGGATCAAATGTGTAAATATTGGAAAGTTGAGCTAAAGTGCAGAACTAGAATGAAAATATACCAAATATGAGATTGAGGACGATACAAGACGATCGGAGGAAGAAAGAAGTAACATTGGAATGAATTGAAGAAAAGTGAAAGATGAAGGACTAAATTGTAATTAATCAAAAGATGAGCCGAGCAAGTGATCAAGGAATTGATTGACCCAAACATCAATTAGGAGTCAATATTTGACAATGGAACAAAGGAAAGAAAGAAAAGAGATCAAGAAAAGAGAAAACGGAGTTCAGGGACCAAAATAGAAGGTTGTAAAGTTACAACCTTGCGGCCGCATGTAACTATACCATGCGGCCGCACATGAGGAGGTAGGGATTTTGTTGAGCAGAAAATTTGAACCATGCGGCCGCATGGCTTTAACATTCGAACAAAAATCTGAACTTCCGTTTTTAATTGAAACTCTTTCGGGGCTCCGTGAGGACGTGATATAAAAGCCAAAATTCATCAGAAATAGGGCAGAACATCCAGGGAGAAGAAAAATACAACTTTTGGAGGCAAGGAACACGAACTTGAAGCCGATTTCACAAGAATTCAAGCGGGTTTTCAAGGTTTTATTCAAGATTTCAAGAATTTTCATACGGGTGCTATCATTTCTATTTATTAATTTCGTTTTTTTTCTGTAATTATGAATATTCTAGGCTATGTTTTCAATTACTAGATGATCGATGAACCGTTGTTTGTTATTTTAATTCCATATTTCATGAGTTTAATATAAAGACTCGTTTGGATAATTTGATTGGTTTACATGCATTAATTTTCTTCCGCAATTAGTAGCCAATGATTGTGTGAGTGTTGATGACTTATTTCTTACATTCGAGAGAAGTGGAATATGTTCGATAATGTGTAAATTAACATAGGGTCCGATAGAGGATAGAGATATACCCTATGCTTTATGCAATTTTTTAATTGTTCACAAAACCACATGCATTCTTGTATATTTGCGTCATCCATAGAGATATATGCTGATGGTGTGCAAGAATAGATCTAATATATATCGAGAGAATATAGTGGATAGAATTAGGAACATTGAATTGGCAAATTTTCATCGAGTCATTAATTTTATGAAATTAGGGTTTTTATAACTTCAATTGGGGATTCGTGATCCTAGTGACTTCAGTTTGATTCATTTCCATAAATTAGCTTTTGAATTTGCATAATTTCATTTACTTGAGTGTTTGAGTCGTTTAATTAGAGAAATTTCGAAATTAGGGTTTCTAATTGAAAAAATAGGGTTTTCAATAGAAATTAGGGCTTTTAGTAAAATTAGGGTTTTTAATTGAAATTAGGACTTTCTGCATTTAGACCATATTTTCACTCAATTAGATTCGGCTAAGGCTAGATTATATAGAATTGAACTACTCAATCTCTGAGGGACGATATTCGGACTTATTGAAATCCACTTTATTACTTGTTACGAACCGTACACTTGCGGTAGTTTTAAATCGAAAGAACTATTTCGTGAACAGTTTACTTGACCAATGATTTGGTTTGTGATCTTTAAAGTTCGATAATATGTGACTAAAAAATAACCTATGACCAATAAATATGAAAATATGTGATCCATATATAAACTTTAACATATAATTTGAATGATCCGTGACCTTAAAATAATCCGTAACGTACAAAATTTTTTATTTATGACCATGAAATAATCCGTGAAAAATTAATTTGATGATATGTAACCAGTAAATAAATTCGTTACCTATAATTATAAATCCATGACCATTAATAGTATAACTGTGACTTTATCATATATTTATTTAATAAATATTTTTAATTAATTAAATATATACTTGTATTTTGAATTTTTAAACTATCTACTTGATTTCTAAATTGGTGAAAATAATACACTTGAATTATGAATTTTTCCCAAATATGAATTCACTAATTCCCTTTGGTACGATGAAATTCAAAATTTTAATCCGAATTTAAGCCAACAATTATTTTAATCTCATATTTTGACTCAATTTTTTAATAACATATTGCTTCAACTTATATTAATATCTGTTAAAAATTAGATTTTAATCCACATTAAATATATAAACCGAATAATCGACATACTATTTTTATCGAGCTACAATAATTAAAATTCACAGCACAACAATTAAACTTCCCAACTTAAAACCTCTCCAAATAACTAATTTATCATCAATAACTCTTTACAATAACAAAATAATTTCTCAATCCTAAAAAAAGAAGTCCAACTACAGTTTTACACAACTTCAATTCTTGGTAAATTGCATCGACAGAGCAACTATAGATTGTCCTAGTTCAAATAAGTTGAAAATTTGAAAAAGCCAAATGGCCAGGGTGGGAGATAGGCCATAAAACAGGGCATCCACTGATAGGCGCCCCCGAAGCAAGGTTCTTCAAAATTACATGTGAAGAACATCTCTACATTCAGTAAATTTGACTCGTCTTGTCCGTGCTTCACAAATAAGAAAAACAACAGAAGTACATTGTTATAGGACAAGTTTAAGCGCTAAAATTGTATTTTTAATATAGTAAATTAATAAATATACAATTAAAAAATAAATAAAAATTATTAATTTACATAAAATATTATTGTATTAAAAAATATATAATTAAAAAGAAAGAAGAAAATATATATTTCAAGAAATATGGAACAAGAGTTCTATAATAGTGAGAGAAAGAGAAAAAAAAAAGGATAAACCCTCGAAACTCAAATCATATTACATTATATTAAGCAAATTTACATTAACATTTCAGGCCCTGTTTGAAAACGATTTTTAGAATTAATTTTTTGATCATTAAAAAAAATATAGAGACCGTCTATGAGAGAGAAAATAAAATTTTACTACTAAAATAATGAAACAACAATTAAAAAATCAATTTTTTAAAATGAAAAATCACTTACAAACACCCCAGTCAAACACACCTCTAAAGAGCAAAAACAAAAACAAGAAAAAAACACTGGAAATATGGACGACTGTCCGTGAGCACCTTGTTTTTTTAGCCTATCTCTCACCCTAACCAGAAAGCAGGGTTCTTGAAAATTACATATAAAGAACACCTATACATTCAATACATTCGACTCATCTTGTGCTTGACAAATAAGAAAAATAGCAAAAGTACGTTCTTATAAGGCACGTTTAAACGCTATTGTATTTTAAAAATAGTGAATTAATAAATATACGATTAAAAAATAAATAATTTTTTTTATTTACATACGATATTATTCTATTAAAAAATATATAATTAAAAAGAAAAAAAATTAATAATTATGAAATGAGAGCATTATATCATAATAGTGAGAAAAGACCAAGAAAAACATGTTAAACCCTGGAAACTCACATTATATTATATTATATTATATTATATTAAGCAAATTTACATAAACATTTCAGACACACCTCAAAAAAGCAAGAACAAAAACAAGAAAAAGAACTCTGGAAACTCTTCCACTTCTTCACTTATTTAACCCATACTCTCTATATCATCATATAGAAGACGAACAGCCCATTGAAAACTATCTTACTCAGCCAGAAATATTAATAGCCTTAACATCAGGCTTCTTCACCTCTTCTTTAGGGACGGTAACAGTTAATACTCCATTCTCCATACTAGCTTTGATCTTATCCATCTTCACATTCTCCGGCAGCCTGAACCGGCGAAGGAATTTTCCCGCGCTCCTCTCCATGCGGTGCCAAGTATCATTTTTCTCTTCTTTCTCCCTGCTCCTCTCTCCTCTAATCTGCAAAACGTTCCCTTCCTCGACTTCGACCTTAACTTCCTCCTTCTTCAGTCCCGGAAGATCAGCCTTGAACACGTGACCTTCTGGAGTCTCCTTCCAGTCAATCCGAGTGGCGGCGAATTGGGATGTCTCGTTAGAAATGTCTGAACGAAATGGAGCGGAGACGGCTGAGCTAATAGGCCAATCCTGAAAAGGATCCCAAACATCGAGGGAGAATGGATCGAAAACGTTGCTTCGTCGACCGAAAACACTTGGAATCAGCGCCATTTTGCGATATCGTTTAGCAAAAATTTCAGAAAATGGGTACAAATTTGATAGCTTGGAAACTTGATTAGTTTGAAGGGTGGAACAAAGATTACTTGGTGGACCTTACTTTGACTTGCTAACATTCCCGCGTGGGTGTCTTTATAGCTCAGCTCCAGGGTAAATCTGTAAAGTTCTCGAAGAGCATCGTTATCTCTGGATAACTCGTGAAACGCTAATATATTCTGGAAACACTTTTCCAGTACGAGAAATATCTGGAACAACCCAGAGAAAACTAGCCAAGTTTCGGTTGACACGTGTCTACATGTTTTGTATATTTTTTTGGAAAAATTGTAGATTTTTACTCAATTTTTTACACAAACATAACTTTTTTAGCCTGATTAATTTCTTTTACTTCATTTTAATTTATTTTTCATATTCATTTTTAACCATATATTTGTACAATAAGATATTTTACACATGAATTCATAATTTTTTCTTCCTTTTTAATTACACATTCTTGAAAAAATAATATTCAAAACTATACTTTCTAAACATTATGAATATAAAATACAAATAAAAATTATATAGTTCTGAGTACGAATTTTTAGGGCCATAATTTATATTTGAAACTTATACGGTTAAGCCCCTGTTTGATCCCCATCAAATTAAATTACATTACATTACATTTTTCTCTTTCTTATTTTCAAATACACAATCTTCTATAAAATAATATTACATGTAAATTGAAAACTTTTCTTTCTTTTCAACCATTCATTTTTCTAAAAAATACTATTCCCCCATTTTCATTTTTAGGTAATGGAAATCAGACAGGGGCTAAATTAAGAATTGTATGAAAATATTTTTATTTATTTTTAAATTGATTAGCTTGTTAAACAAGTCAGGAGAAGAGTTTGGTGATAAAATATTCAAAAATTTAAAGATATCTCATATAATCACACACCAATCAAAAATAAGCTGATTTTTTATTTTTATTTTTATTTTTTGTCATCAAGACATATCAATAGATTAACATAAATGATTGACAACACAAAATAAAAGTAAAACTATATATTTATGTAGATCATGTCATCATGAAGTAGTCTAAGGCCGTGTTTGATAGTGTCAAATTCCATGGAAAATGGAATTCATTTTCCACCAATTTTGTGATGTCTGATAACAAAATTTCATATGGAATTTGATTTTCTTGCTTTTCTTGAAAATTGGAATTTTCTAGGTTTTCATTAAAAACCTATATGGTGGGAATTAGTTTTCTAGGGTACTATTTACGTTTTTTTTAATTTATTTTCGTGGCAATGGAAACAAATTAATCTCTAATTATAAAATAATATTTTCCTTTAATTGATAATTTTCATGTAAAACAAAGCCAAATGAACACTAAAAGATAGATAATTTTCTTTACTCTTTTTTTTGGCAATGAAAACAAATTTTATCTCCAATACCAACAAATTATATCTCTTTAATTGATAATTTTCATAAAAAATAAAGTCAAATGAATACCAAAAAATAATTTTATTTCAACACTTTTCACGTGAAAAATTATACCAATCAAACACAATAATTGACAATTTTCAATAAAACAATTTTTAGGCAATTTAATTCACTCGAATTCGTTTTCTTTTCACTAAAATTTCATTTTTGTAATCAAACGGACCCTAATATTTGGAAAGTGAGGAATAATAAAAGTTTTATGAAAAAAGAAAATATAGTGTTGAATTCGGGTTATACGGGTATATTAGTCATCCATTATATAACCTTGATTTACAAGTTACAAAACACTGAATTTAATGACTCACTGACTGTGAAAAACAATAATGTCATGGAAATAAATATGGCATAGGTATTGAACCATCATTTGTGATCAAATTCATAAAGATCTAAGCATCAAACCGTCCACAAGTTTACCTAAGTAACAATTTTAGTAGCATCAATGCTACTATAATAAATAATTAAATTCTATTTAAATATATGAATGATAGGCGAAAATATGCACTACGAGAAGTAAATAAATTGTCAAAGTTGTTAATAAAAATAAAATCACATTTTAGGTCATTAAATTTGGTGTTGTGTTGTAAATTGTAAATATTAGACTAAAACGTAAATGGGCTTGGGGGCAGTGCTGACGCCTACCCCACTCTCACACCCCAGCCTATGAGGTGTGACTTTGTAGCTCATTCGATGCACAGAGACAAATTTAAGCAAAAGATTTTAAACTGCAAGAGAGATAATGCAACCTCAATAATGAGGTAAATGCACCTAATGGTTTATAGCATTGTCCTAAAGCATTGGGACTGCTTCGAATTCTAGGCCAACCTATGGGACTGAGAGGTCGTGTCTTTGTATGAGTACCTTCAATCCATATCCTAATTATAGAGGGACTAGGACTCATAGTGGATAAGAATTAGGGTAAGTAAAAGTTGAAATTAAGTAGGACTAGGTAGTTGTCCAAGACCGACTAGTGCTCAACTATCCCCATGACCAGGACTATGACTTGGGTGGGAGGATGACAAGTCCTTAGGTCAAACAAAATGATGTCCTTGGATAGTGATCGATCATTTCCTACATGAGAATTAGGGTAAGTAAAAGTTGAAATTAAGTAGGACTAGGTAGTTGTCCAAGACCGACTAGTGCTCAGCTATCCCCATGACCAGGACAATGACTTGGGTGGGAGGATGACAAGTCCTTAGGTCAAACAAAATGATGTCCTTGGATAGTGATCGATCATTTCCTACATGAGTGCTCACATCGGGTCAAGTTGTGTCTCCAAGCATAAAGGTTGAGCTTAGCGCCTATCGAGTCGACGTACAACCACTCTCTGAAAGATGTACCAACCAATCACAAGTCTTTAATGAAGTTGGGTCGGATATGTAACTTTTAAACCTAATCATTGGCCCTTTTGCTTTCGAGGTCAGGTACAGACCTTCAGATAAAGACCTTATGGCTAACACACAAATGTACGTCCAAAAAGCTGAAAGGTCGTGTGTCACCTGCAGGGGATAATGATGGTGTGCTAGGGCTTTATGTATGTGCGCCATGTAATCGTTATCAATGGCTGAAATCAATAGTTTTTTCCCTCTCTTTACCTTATAAATACTTTTTTTTTTGTTTCATTTGTTATTTTACATTTCCTAATATTTGACTCGAGAGAGCTCAAGAGAACAAATCGAGTCGTGCTAAAAAGGTGCCGTCAAAAATCTTAACTTTTTATTTTTATAAATAAAGGTTGTGTTGGAAATCTACTTATCATGCGCAGCAAAAAATAAAACAATTTTCAATTCTTAACAGGAATTTTTTTTGTGTTTAGATAGAAACTGTGATAAAGATTGTACCTTTTTACGAGATCTGCAAGCTCCTTTGCTATTCTTTCGTTCCAACGATCTTGATTCGCTACCCACAACTGTCCAATTGTCCAGCCTCCATCGTTGATCCACACAGAGAAAAATATTGTAGAATTATAATTTTCTTCTTGTGCTAGCAAGAATAATGAATTCTTTACAGATTTTGAAAATTCTAGTCATATTTATAGAAGCCCGAACAGGTTTGGCCTGACTCGATCCAATATTTAATTAACCCATTTAATTAATTAATTCAGGTTTATAAATAAGCAACCTAATTAATTAATTTATCCAACGCTCATTAAAGTAATTAATTGACAAATCACAATCTTCCAGTTCTCATTTTGTGTGTAACTCATCAGGTTCCGATCACGATACCTAACGACGGAAAATATTATTTTGATCTAATCAAAATTGATAAATTAAAATACCCTTTTAATTTATCACCAGTTCACACTCGCCATCTCAGATTGATATCTAGTAATGTGTCAAGACAATACATGTGATGATAAATGTCACGTGGTATGATAAAACCAAACTCGTTCGTTTACCGTGAAACTATAATCCTTTCGTCAATATGATCCGATTAATTGAATGAAATGCAAATCATAATCTCTTACTATCTAAGAGTGACGAATCCTCTATTGATAATTCACAACCTTCATACGATTCTTGACATACTCAAACGATGCAGTATTAGTGGCCCTTGACAGAGCAATATCCAATACCGTCAAAGCATGACTGTCCTCATATAAGGTACCATGACGACCTCAAGTCAAAGAACCAATCCCACTACCGAACGTTAAAGATTAACCACAGACACTCAAATAGTTATCATGTAGAATCTCTCAGCGGGTCTCCAATGTTTTGTTCTATAGCAAAATATCCACGTGTTCATTCAAGTGTTACCACACTTTAGCTTGTGAGATTAGTTACTTACTCCACAAGTAAGAAATGTCACACGTGAGATCTATTCGTAATTACGATATCCGTATATCGTTATTACTCATGACTACGAATGATTTAAGATTCAATCATATGTAATTTGTATTTCACAATTATAATTCCTTGTGATTAACAAATTACAAAGATTTGAATCTATGTACTCTATTATTTAATTCAATTTTCCATTAATTAAATAATAGATCTGCCATTAAATTATATTAATTATATACTTAAAGTATTTATGTCCAAGATTGATTGGACTTAGGGCGTAACACTAACAAACTCCCACTTGCACAAGATCCAATCATTTATGTATCCAATATCATAAAAGTCTACATGACGATCATGTTTATGCTACGACAAATCTTTGTCAGTAGATCCACAATATTGTCAAATGTGGAAATTCGTTCTTCTCTTTATGTCATTTCTATGTATTATCTGTCTAATGAGATTGTACTATCTTAATACATGTTTAGATTATTAATGACACCTTAGTTCCTTCATTTTCGCGATGACTCTATTGTTATCACAATACAATAACATGTGATCAACAATATTAGGAACTACTCCAAATTCATTAATGAACATCTTGATCCACATTGCAACCCTTTCCTACTTCTGAAGCAATCATGCATTAAATTTCTGCTATTGAATCAATGATTGTTTCATGTTTGGAACATTTTCAGTATACCGTTTAAGAGTAAACCAATTTTTTCATATAAAATCTTCTCAAGATTTTATTTATACTGATTGGGATGAGTTAAGCAATCTTCTAGATCTATCTCTATAGATCAAGTTGTTTCTCCATATCGTTCATGAATAAATCATTTTAAAATCATTAC